ACAAGGGTAGCGGACTTTCGTAAGGCGCTCTGTGTGTCTCAACATCGGAAGATAGAGAACGTAGGTTGGAGGCTAATGTGTTCTGAAATACGCCGAGAACATTCGGAGCGGCGAGCTTGTCTGTGTCATACCGTTTCCGGGGACGCTGTTGGGTGCCTCCAAAAGCGCAGAACGAACTTAGCACACACGAGCGCATGATCCGAAGTCAGGTAAGTATTCCATATTGACTTGCAATCCGTTATGCAGCCTCGCCAACGGTAACTAAAAGCGATCTGGTCAATTTGCGTCAAAGATTGACCAGGCGCCGGAGGTCGTCGGGTGGCTCGTTGGCACCAGGAACGTCGGAAATTGGTGCTGGAGAGGAACATGCCGTGATCGGTGCACAGTTGGAGGAGTCCATCGCCGTTGTCCGTCCTGCGAGTACCGTGGCTGTGTTGACACCCACGTTCGCGCTCATGAACCTCTAGTCTACCGACCTGCGCATTTAGGTCACCGGCGAGTATCACGATGTCCGTGCGGCGTTTCTAGCGGAGAAGGTCGGTGAGTTGGCGGTAGAACTCGTCTTTACCTTCATCCGGGCTGCAGTCCGTTGAAGCGTACACCGCCACAATGAATAAGCAGTGCCTACTGGTCCCGTGGCTGGAAGATCGCATTGAGCTTTCCAAGCGGATTGCACAAAGACGACGGCTGACCAGGAACTAATCAGTGAGCGCTGCCTCAGCACGCGTGCTTAACACAACTACGCCGGCGCAACCAGAGGCTGCCGCTGTCGCACCTCCAGATAAGCGCAACGTGTATGTGCAACTGGAACTTGGGGATGGTGAGATCAATCGCAGACTTGTGCTGGAGTCTTATAGACGGGTTTCGGTTAGGCAGCAAACATCGATTGAGAGGGTTACCAAGGTTCGCGCAAGAGCAGCTTGTGGCCCAATCTGCATGAGCAATCGAACATTGGATGTAGCTAGCTTGAAAAGCGAGCGGGGTACGTTAAAAGCTTTGCTGTTGGTATTTTGAACGTATGCGATCGGTTTTGTGCGGTTCATTGAGGAGGCCAACTGTACCGTTTTTATTTGCAATGCACTTTTGGTGACTCGAAATTGAAGGGGATTGACAAGAACGGGTGGGTTAAATAAACCTGGAACGAAGAACGTGGTTTACGATGCGGTAGAGTGTGGTTTAGCATGCCCGGCCGCCAGCACCCCGGCCAAAGAGAGAGAGAGAGTTCCGAGAGCGAAAGACGTGAGCGGAGAGTTATAAATCCATTATTTCATGTGTTGTGTGGGCATACAGCTTTGCGGTTGCCCAGGCTGAGGAAGGGGATTGACTTGGCGGACCCCACCCGGCACCTTTGGTCGTAGGGACCTGACCCGCAAGACAGCGGGGCGAATTCGGGGAATCGCGCCCATTGGGAGCCAGTGACCGATTGCTCGATTCATAAGCCTTTCCTTTGGCTGGCTGTCAATCAAGGGCCCAGTACTCCCAGTAATTCAGTGTCAAGCTGAAGAATTACAATGCTCCAGGAAGGTGAAGCAAGTGGCAGGGACTTTATTTAATGCCGAATCACATCCGCCACGTCACAGTGTTGTTAAACGGACATATGTTGCTTTTTATAGGGAGGTAACTTGCCAGGCGAAAACCCACTACGTCCTGGAACACTGCCGCCGAACCTTTCGCTGGAACGGAATACTCCCGAACCACGCGGATCAACCGCGTTTTGCTATTATCATGATCATTCCATGAGTACTGAAATCGCGCAGTCTGGGCCGCATCACCAACTGCGCATATCAGCCCCCTATACATGGCGCCTGTTAGTATAGATTAGATCCATCCATACCTTCAACAACCGATTATCGCCTACTTGTTGCTACTTTGCGAAAACTGCACTGTTTGGAACGTGTGTATTCTATCCATTGTTCTACAGTAATGAGCGTTATTTACTCGAACTGCAGTTATAATTGATCGGATAAGTACGACGCTTGTTCGTCCACCGTCTGATATTCGGAAGTTGCACGCTGTTTACGAGATTCAGAATCGCCCAGGGTTGTGGGAGGAGTCATCATCCTCATTAGGGTCACCCGGGTATGCTGAGAGATTAAAACCTGTATTAAATAATAGGTTGAGGTTGTATGAACATCTGTAGACTTTTATTAAATTTGAATGACTTTAGCGGCTACTTTGCATACTGTGACAGTATTTTGCTTTGCTACTACAATAGAGGAGGCTCTACCATCTTGTTTATGGCTGCCATGTGGTAAAACTTATGTGGAAAATAGCTAAATATTAAACGTAGACCTATTATTGATCAATAAAGGTTTTTTGAGTCCACAGATAAGTCAAAATGAACTTTAATAGATTTTAAGGATGGCTAATGATTAATTTGGTCGGGTTAAAGTGGGTAGTACTGTATTTTTCGGAGAATAAGCACAACTTCCATCCTGATGTTTTGTTTGTTGTTGTTTGTAACACTCATACTGCTTTGCTTGGTTTTTTATATTGTGTTAATCGTTATAGATTATAGTACATAAAAATTGCGGCTATAAGGATTTGCTTGTTTAGGGAAATGAAGCAGGTCTTACTTCAGATTGAGTTGCGAAACGTGCCGCGAAATTGCAATTGCAAAACGACAACAAGATATTCACCGGAAGACTTAGAAATTGCTAGAGACCTGGTTTAAATCGAGCCCTTACATACGACGTTTCCAATCAGAAGGACATACCACATGATACTTTACGAAGGTGGATCGTTCAATTTCCCAATCATGTTGGTTCCAGTCGGCTTCCCCTGCTTTCTGTTGACTAGGAGAGGATAGTTGCCCGCAGCTTGTGCTGTTTAGCAGAAGTGTTTTTCCTGGCGATTGTGCAGACCTAGTTTCCAAGATCAGATGTTACGTTGGATGCACAGGAGGGCCCAACTCGTTCAAAGAAAACTCCTGGCAAAGGTTGGGTGCTTGGATTTGCAAAGAGATGGAGAAGGGTGTTTTCACTTCAAAAACCGTAACTTTTGACCAAAGCAAGTTCTGCGTGTTCAGGCAATGCCTAGAGAGGAGGTATCAGCCATCTTTCTTAGGGTAGAAACAGAAATAAAAGCTAATAAATCGAAGAGGACAAGTTCAAGGAATGCCAATTCCATCCCTAACTCAACAGACATGGTGCGGACTGGAGAAGGTACACAAATAAGCAAAGATGGAGGTACATGCAATATCATCATTGGTGTTGGATTTCATTTAAATATAAAGGTAAAAGGAATATGCACAAGTCCTTGGGACTTGGCATTGAAATACCGGGCGAAGGCTTATACACGGTGACATTTTTGACTAAATCACAGTGGGACACTATATTTTTCCAGAGATGTTTCAGTTAAAAGTACCCTTAAAAGATACCACAACCTGCTTGCAGTAGCCGAGAACAATATACTTTTGACAGGTAATATGCTGTCAGTGAAATGTTTATGCCACAGACACCATTGACAAACACCGTAGTATCAGGATTACATGTTTTTGTAGTAACACTGTTTCCAAAAAATTATCCTGATATCATACATTTTGTCAATATCACGATTTTGTATAAAACTTGTTGACACCAGCTTCAATATTTGACTGTAAGATGACGTTATTACTGATGGAAAGCAATATACCCACTTTACCCCGGCGTATACCCATGGGGTAAAATGGGTACAGGGCTTAATTCAATATTTTAATGATAACAATGAATTCATTGACCTGGTTATGCGTGGTTATAAGCCTAATATAAAAGTAATTAACCAATCGCTCGGAGCTATCGCATGAAAAAATATACCTGATTTATACCCATTTCCCCGGGTGACTCTATACACGTTAGCTGGAGGTGGAAATGGCTGCTGTGCCGTAATACATAAGAAAATTTAAATGCAAAAGAGACACGTTAGCTGAGCCCCCAGTAACCGATGGGCATCGTTCCGGAAACCTACCAGCCGAAATTGTGCTGCAAAAAGAATTATCTTACGCAAATTCATACTATACTATAGAATGAGATCGTGGTTGGAAGTTGGGGGGAATAAACGCAAGGGTGCGGAAAAGGTAACTCACAACACAAACGTCACTGAGGTCGGCTCCTAGCCATGTCAGCAAGTGTATCCAGCCAGCTTATTCCTTGCGAGCACTAACTTCCTACATATCACCAGCCGGAGGGTGACATGGCGCCCACTAATCTTACGTCAGCTTTGGATACTAATCGATCACATTGCGATCAGTTACCGCTGAAGAGGCTGTGTCCAAAACCGTCTTTCGATTTGGAGCACATGTGTGGACACTGACCATGCACTTGTATGCGCTGATCGGCGGGTGCATTTTGGCGGACGCTTACGACGACGCTATGAGCGCGTAGACACCAGCAAACTAGTGCAGCCGGATGTTCTGAATGCGTAGGGAAGTACACTGACTTGCGGGCTGAGTAAGCACTCACTGGATAGAATTGATGGTCATTGATCGCATGTTCACCAGACCTTACCAGCAGCAGGGAATTCCTCATGTGATAGGTCTACTAGCCAACATGGACATTAGGTCTCTCCACAGTTTCTGGAACTTATCGATGCTCATTGGAATGTGCCAGGAGGATTCCCACTAAGTTGATGGAGATAGATAAATTTCACTTTTGGTCAGGTGACTAAGTTTTCAACGCTCCCTACCCATCCTGGACCTGACGCTGTAAGGTTTACAGCCACCTTTTTCTACAGCATTGCTGCTATCGCGTCATTATTGGATTGATTTGTTGGTATGCTTGCTTCATGGGCTTCTTGCCTGTAGTACTTATTTTGAAAATTAAGCAGTTCTGTCTCACTGTCCGGCTCTTACATATAGCTTAACCTAGGTTTGTCAGCATCGTTTACCGTAGTTGTTGTTTTGTGGTAACGTCGCTTAAATGCAACCTTGCAGATTGGAGAGAACAATGATGTATTTTAAACTGCATGCGCTTGGAAATTTGTTTCATTGGAGGCATATTTTATCTCTCCTTTTCCACCAGTTCCACAATGTGTGCGGAGACATCGTCGATATTCTCCTATCTTCGCAACGTGGACATATTATTGTTAGACGATCTTTACTCACATCCTCCCACTTGCCTCGTGGTGTTCAGAGAGCTTCCTGAGTTGGCCAAGCACATAGTTGCTCGACTACTTTTTGTTGAACAACCTATTCCCAAATCCATTGTTTCGGGATGGGCCGAGAAAAGCTACCAGCCTCAGTTGGCTAAGGCATGCGATGCTTTATCTGATTTGCACATATGGCACTCTGCGGACAGCAATGTCGCTCGAGGCTCGTGGTGTCTAAATAAAAAATATCAAGAATCCATCCGAATTTCTCTGTTCGGTGGGTGAGTCCCTTATCCATAATTTCCACCTTCTTGCTTACTCCAGTGGGCAGCCCTCCTTGAGTGATCTGGGTTCAACCGTTTTGGACAAATATGCGAAAGATGTCAAGTTCTTATATACTTATGCAACCGAGCGCTGGGATGTGTGTTACGCCATTTAGTTACTAAAATTTTATTTTTAGGCCTTACTACACTTCATGGTGGGCTCTGAGTCATCTGAGGTAGGTGTTGCCGTGCGGGATGTGCTGCTTATGTCCAACCTTATGAAAACGTCAGTTTTCCGATTTTTAATTTGCTTGTCCCCAATTTAGCGGTGGTTCAGACAACTCTATCGGCATCACCAAACACGGTTTCCATTTTTTACTCATGAACCGTCGCGATCAAGTCCGTTTGTTTTTGCTGCATTATTTCAGCTACTTGAAGGTATCTAGTTGAACATCTCCCCTTATTCACTTCGAAGGAAACGAATAAAAACCTAGTCGCGGCTCTGCAGTTTGTATTTCAGCTCAGTTTTCTTTCGCTTGGAAAGGTAAGTTACACCTGTAGTGTGCGTTATGTGTTCCAGTGCTGCGCACCAAAAATTTTAATTGAATCAACTGAACTAGTAATGACGATTTTCAAGCATTTTTGCCATCCTTGTGTGGACTTATTTTCATAGCTGCGGCGTCTGTGCGCTCATGTACACCACTGGTTTAGACTTTTTAACTGTGACTTTGCCAACTTGCGCAGTTCCGTCACCTCGTGTTTCGTAGTCCTGTGAATTAGTTAGACAATCAGCAGTGGGAAGTCGAAAACTGCTTCATCCTGTTTCCCTATGTTACTTTTGGTTCACAACGCACTTCCCTGGCAGGTGTGGGCCGTGGAAACGGCTTCATATTGTTGCTTAACAATCGCAAGATGGTACAACCGGCTTTCATCGAACTCTCTCATGTGGTCCAAACCTTCTGTATATACTTTGTACCTAGAAACTTCTTGGAGCTATTGAGTGATCACAAGCCGGTTGCTTTATGTTGACTCGTATATGGTCAAGGTTGAGACAATTGATTGCGCGTTACTATTGATGAACATTTTGCCGCTAGAATAATATCATGTATCTCATAAGACCATAACTGACTTCGTGAATCTGTAGTGTCTTTGCCACCTTATTTGAATTACCCTTGCCTTAAACGCTGCGTTTTTGGAACTTCCGTGATGTGCGTGCTTCTGTATGATAGTAAGAAAGCTTTTTCCATGTGGATATTTCAAATGTCTTCAGTTCGTCGACCATCGTTCCCTGCAGAGCATTACCTGTTTTATTGATCATCAGCCTCTCCGTAATGATGAATATGCAATTGAACGGTGGGCAGCATTATATTGGTTACTGTGTTAGCTAAGCAACTGAAACTGAACAGTTTCCATTGTTTCCTGTACATGTCATCCATTCGTCGCTCTTCGAGAATCGTCGTACCTTATTTGCCAGGTGCTGCATGGTGTGACACTTCGATTATCGGCTTGGTAGCAGGGACTGTGGCTACTTACCACTACCTGGAGTTCTGTTGATTTTTTTCACCCACCGAACTGGAGCTTACTCGCTCCATTTCATTATGGCCTCGAGATAATACAGGGCATCGCAAATTATCTGCTCCATTTGCGGATTCGTTGTTTAAATTGTCTATGGTGTTGATTTGTCTGACTGTTTATAACCGGGTCAGTGAAAGCCGCGAGGAAGTTGCCTCGGCGATTTTACCCCATCTTTTTATTATCGGCAGTTGTTTGTGCCTCTAGGGATGTTGGCAAACTGTTGCTGTTTTGTTTCACTGTGGTGTTTCATCTGTACATTGTACAGTTGTTACTCATCATTTTGAGGATCGTTGTGTGGTTTTAAAACGCCAAGCGATGGCCCCCCTTAACTGGATATGCTTCTTATTTGATGATTTGGCCGATTCCGAGCCTCAGCTAGGATCCAAGTTCTCTTTGTTTGTCGACTACTTGTCACTCCAGCTGCCAAAATAAGTATGTGTCTCCTCACTGTCGTGTTGCTTTCCGAGAATCAAGAAGAAACTGGGTCGCGATCACAAAATCATTATTAAGAGGACCTGTCGTTGTTTATAGATTATATACAGCATTTCTATGTTGTCTGTTCACTAGATGGCCCTCGTTAACTGGCTTGTAACCTCAGTCACATCGCATTGGTCTGTACTCGTTCTCCATACGATCCACGCTTATGGAGCTTATGGTTAACCTGGGTTTCGCTGTTGTCATCACGAATAGGCGTCTGCTTGTCCATCCGCTCATTTACCGCATGATCCCACGATTAGCTATCTGACACTGCTGCCTGTGTTGCTACCATGATATCAGGCGTATGCCATCCACTTGCCATACGGCCGACCAATCCGTAGGCTAAAAACGGCCGAGGCAATCGATATCCGGTTGTTTCAACCTCCGCTATATCCCCATTTTAAACTAATCAAGACTTTGCAATTGCCTTGACCAGCGAAAGTGGAAGACGCCGAAGGCAGTTGCGCTGGATGCAAAAAGAAGTTGCCCTGGCTAAGATTGCCCGTCGGTTCACGTACCTGACGGCACCGGATTTGTTTCATATAAATTAATCTGATCTATCTTACCCACACTGCTCGTGTCCTTATGTGATTGTACAGGTCTGATGATGAATCACTAAAACAATTGTTCACCTCTGGCCCCATGTTCTTAATTCCGTTTTTCCACTTTATGTTGGGCCGGACCAATCGTACGTTCACGGCTTTCGTCTGATTGGCCCCTAGTCCATCGTTACTGGATCGATTCCATCCGCTCTCGATCTCACCCACCATCACAATCACCATTGCTCTTTCACTACGCATAAGCATCATAATCTCATTGCTTATTTGTCGTGACAGTATTTGGATTCTTGTGCGCTAGGTTGATATCTTTCCTGCAGATGATACGTTTGGTATCTTATCGCAATTCATTGGATGGTAGCTCAACACTAAACACACAGGCAGCTTGTCATTGTTATATTCCACGAAAAGTGCGCCACGTTTCTTCTTGTTTGTCGCTGAAATCCCTTACGCTGCACGTATTTGTCATTCTGTACTCTATACATCGATTTCCAGGACTATATGGGATGTTACTAATCCTCCTCATATGTACCTTCGGACGATCACGACCGATCCTGTCTCTAATGGTATGGTTTAGGATACAGTTTGGTTCAGATAAACAACTGTAATTTGAAAACTAAGGTGCAGTGGATCCAGTTGCCACGACTCAGGTCGCCAGGATATGTGTAGATAACCATGGTTTGAAAATAGGGCAGTGCGCAAACAGAATACGAAAAAGGAAATCAAGTACGTGGTGAGTAGAATTAATTGCGACGGAATAACGACAGCTAAAATCTGTAAATTAAATACAGGAGTGCCACTGACTGCGCCATTGCTCCATATCCAATTGGCTTTCCAAACACCGACGTGGACCATCCCGAGGTCCCCCTTCACTAAAAAGCCACCTACCAGCCTGATCAGCCTGGAAACGTCACCGACTGGACACTTGTCCGGGAGAAATTAACATCACCTAGGAAAAATCGTTATTTCAGTGGGAAAATGCTTCGCGCCAATGGTGTACAGCCGAAGCAACAAATCGTTTCAGGAACATTTGAGTCCACCACATGACACGCGTATCTATCTTCTCTCTGGCTAGTGGAACTGATCAATCAGTGCAGCTGACTGTACAGAAATGTGTCTGCGTATAAATATCCATTAGTTTTTACACTACTTTTACTGGTTTCAGTAGCTGTTGCTGTAACACGCTTTCGCCTCCAGGCATTGACATCTGCTTTTGGCTGGGATTCGGAGCTATTGGAGGACGAGATCAGTCCAACAGGAATCGCATGAAGGCATATCTGAGAAACGCCGACAGAAAACTGGTAATGCAATGAACTTAACTAAATAAATAGTTTTTTCCTGGACTATGCGAGACACGCCTATATAGGAATGATCAACCTCAAATTGCTACTACAGCAGTGGCATGCACAAATGAGACTGATGGTAACGTTGACGCAGCGGCTCAGTCTGCAGTTCGAAGAAGCAACTTCACGGGACACGCATCATCATCATGATATACGTTAGCTGCAGGTGGAGAACACCTCAGCTATTTTGCCGCAAATATATATATATATATATATATTATACACAATCTGTGGTACAGATATTGTGCCATCGGAATCATGGCTGAATAGGAAAACAATATGAATAATAAGAAAAGAGCAACAAGAAATGCTTTTTTTGTCAAGTTTACCACTCACAGTTTTTGAAATTTTTTCAGTTTGTTCGTTTTTAGGGGGAGGAGGAAGGGACACCGCAACACACTGATGCACACGTCCGCCATTGACATCGATCTTGAGCCATAACTTCCAAGGTTTTCAACCAGCAAGTATCCTCGTCTCTCGGACCCCAACCAGGTAGTTGACAACAACCGGCCGAGGCCAATTGTTTCGTCAACTTTTTCATGCGGCTTCTCCATGTTGTAGGCTGTCCACCAGACCGTCTCTTCCAGCCCTGTCCAGCAAGTGCAAACAACGCACGACGGGGGTAACGCTGGACAGGCATGCGCAATACGTGTCCCACTCACATCAGTTGATGCAGTGAGATGAGCTCCTCGAGCGAGTGGCTTCCACGTCCCAAGACACGCTGTCTAACTTCCACATTGCTTACGTGGTGCTGCCACCACACACGGGCAATGGACCGCAGACAGCGGTGCTCGAAGACGGATAGCCTGCGCAAGTCATCTTTACGAATGGGCCAGGTCTCGCATCCGTACAACAGTACAGCACGAACAATTGCACAATAGACCCGCCCTTTGATGGAGAGACGAATGTCGTGGCGACGCCACAAATGCCTCAGCCTAGAAAAAGCGAGGCGTGCTTTCGAGATGCGCATCGAAATCTCGTCTCCAACAGCCCCGCCAGCAGTGATGCAACTTCCCAAGTAGACAAAGCTCTCCACAACCTCTGGTGTCTCACCAGCAAGAGTGAGTGCAGGCAGAGGCACCTGCCAGTCTTGAAGGAGAGCCTTGCATTTGGATGGCGAAAAGCACATACCGTACTTTGATGCTTCAATCGTCAAGCGGTTTAATGCAAGTTGGACGACCTGTGGATCGTCACCCAGCAAGACGATATCATCAGCATAATCCAAATCAACAACTCGACTACCTGGGAGGAGCTCAACGCCAGCGTTCAACGAATCGCTCAGAGCGTTCTTCAGGACATCCTCAATGGCAAAGTTGAATAGGAACGGAGAGATAGGGCATCCTTGTCGAACTCCACTGGAGACCACAAAGGTAGGCGAAAGCATGCCATAAGCCCTAACCCTGCCCGAGGTCAGACTGTATAGAGCGCGCAGGATGGAGACGAACTTCTCGGGGACACCGTTCCTCAGAAGGCACTGCCACAGTACTGTACGATCAACAGAATCGAAGGCTGCACGGATATCCAGGAACACAGCAATCGTTGGCCTCTGATACACATGGCGGAGCTCGATGATCTGGCGAAGTGTGAAGATT